TTGATTTCTAAGTGTACCCGAAAGTGGTGATAAAGTACCCGGGTATACCCGTTTCTGGTTATGTCTCTATCATAGAACCAAAATTATTCTGCGAAACCCCTTCGCCCCAGCTGTGAGATGAGCTCATCAGAACCGCCATGCTCCACATCACGCCTTCTCACGGGCGCAAAAAGCGATTCGTGCTGGTTTCGACCTGATTGCTCGCGATGCTGGCTACCTCGGCGATGCCGAGGACATACAGCTTGAGCAACAGCTCATTCGAAAGCTGCTGTAAAGACCTACAGCACTGTGTCAGCTTTTTTGGGGGGAGTTGCAAAGGCGTGGTTTGCTTTCTAAAAACAAACGCCCATTCTCATTTTTNGCCGTTGCTCGGCGCGCTGCACAAAAACACTCCGCCTGTGAGATCACCTTGGTCGGCTCTGCCCCTCTCTGCGAAGGGGGGGCCTTCGCGATCGAATTCCACGCTTGGCTACCGGAGCCGATTCTGCTTTAGCGATGTAAGGTAGGCACAGCAGTTCGGAGCGTGTGTGGCGCCAACATGCTTTGGCGTGGTGTGTCATATGCATATGTCATGTGTGTACCTGTACGTGACACCAGATACCACCCCCCTTCATGGGTGTTCAAAGCTCGAGTGCTCCACGACGGAAAGGCTGGAGTATAAAACAAACGATACGGCTTCGCAAAGCTCTCGACGAGCCGTTTCCAACGCTGCCATTTTCGACGTCATCACGCTTTTGTTGCTGTGGAATATTTGGGCTTTGAAATGTGGTTAAGAGGGTGCGGTATCTTGTGCAACCAACGGTCAGCGGTACACGTTGTACAACGAGGTGGTGCTACGCGGCCACAATAGTCGTTACGCGCCCTCGAACTGCGGAGGGAACGGGTTTCCTTATTGTACCTAAGAACGAAGTGGATCTGGTGTGGAGCGGTTGGCCCGTGGTGTTGTTACAACGGCGAACTCTCTGTACGCTGAATTACGGCACATCCATGAAAAAATAACGCGGCGCGTCTCGTTTTGGAGACACTCTGCGTTACACCCACCCCTACTCACCACCCACTCACAGCAACAGGGTAGGTCCTGGCCTTGCTTGCTCATGTCTTGTACGGCAGTTGACGAAGGAAGAAAAATGTAAGACGGTAGTTGTAATGCGTTGTGCATCCACCACGAAATATGCGGCTGCTGTATCCTGTCGGTCGACTTTGACAGCCGGGCTAATCAGCCCCCTTCCCAAATGGTTTTAGAGCAGAGAATCACATGCTCCACCGCTTGCGCCGACCTGCGCAATCTCCTAGCCTAGACATAATAATGTTTTCTTTATGTTGGTGTTGTGCAGGATCCCGGTACGTATCCACGCGTGTGATACGAGTTGTTTGTTGCTAAGATGGCAGTGAATCCCCTCCCCCTCCCTTGTGGAGGGGCTCGCATCGATTGGCTCTGATCGGAACACACGCCACCTACTCCTTGGTGTAGCTACACCACCGGGCGGGGTTTTTCAATGTGAATCAATGTTACTCGCCGGAGGGAACAGACTATCGATTTGCACATCCGCCTGACAACATCCTCCCATGGTCACAATAGGCGATGAAATACGCAAGCATTGTTGACACTTCTGTAATCGACGACATCCCATCCTTGTCTGAAACATCGCATGGTTCATGGACCGAGCAGCGCTGGCGGTCCACCTTTTCCTGCAGCGTTCACGGGGACAACATGAGGAGGAGAGAAGACCACATCCGGGCGAATGCTGACTCTCTTGACGAAGCTGGCAGGGAAGATCCCTCCCGGGGAGATGGGGGAGACGAGGAAAAATACCCGGAGGTGGAAGCCGAGAGACGACACCGGATGACGAGGAGGAAACTCGCACAGGAGACGGGAGCCGAGAGTAAAGCATCCGAAAGGGATTTTTATCCTCTCGAGGAAGCTGGCAGAGAGATGTGGGCGCCGGCGGGGGCAGGGGGGGGTGGCGAAGAGGGAAAACCCGACGAAGCTGGCCGAGATGGCACTGCCTGACGAGGAGGATAGGCGGGAGCAAGGGTCGGGTTACGGTGAGGGGAAGGCGGTTGGGCTGGGTTGGGTTTTTCGTGTGGCAGGAACAACAGTCGTATACCTCACGTCCCCCAGGAACGAATGACGAAAAACAGATACATGTGCCGTGACAGCACCGTCCATTGGATACCCCGGCTGTTGGAGGAATGACGCGTTGAATACGAATCCACTGCTGGGCCGGTATATGTGAATCGTAGATACACTGGTATGAGGACACAGGCTACCGTCAGAGACAGGAGCCGGTGCCGTTGCAGTGTTCCCCTACTGCCAAGGGTGGCTATTTCCTTTCCTGAGATGTAACGAGGAGAGAGGTAGAAAGAGTGACCAGCAAAGGGCAGAGGAAGGAGAGTCGAAGATTCTCCGCCTCCGCTCTCGGCAGGTGGTCAAAGACGATTGAAGAGACGGATCTCAACGATGTGTGACTTGTCACTCTCCAGATGGCAAGTTACCCCGATGGATTGTATCCTCCTACTCTCTATGTGCACGAATGGTTGGTTGGTTATGCTTCCGACAGGAGTCCTCCACATCACCCCCCCCTCTGTGAACCCCCCCCCCGGTGTTTGCCATCGGGTTGGGTTTTCGTCGCTTGGCAATCACGTTGTAAAACAAATCCTGGTCTCCGTTGGAAGCGACGCGCTGCAAAGCTCGTTGTTAGTAAACTTGATCGACTTCATAAGTCGCGAGGGAAGGGATTGCTGAACCCTTCTCGCGATCAAAATATCTCAAGCAGGAACCGCAAGAGGGGGTCCAACCCCCCCCCTCCTATGTGACCCCGGTTGGGTCGTCTAGCTGGTAGAAGTGGAGGATAGGGGCCAGAGGGGCAGACGACAGAGTCCAATGATGGGAGAAAATAAAAATGTATCGGAATTAACCTAGTTTGCACAATACCATCAACCAGATCTGATTATTAACCACGCATGTTGAGAAACACGGAGTCCTCAGCCAGGGTGATGAATGTGGTCCACACTAGTATAGTCTAGAAAAAGAAATGGTGGGTACTGGGCTATCATGGTCACAGTTAAAGGGTACTAAAATGTTTTGATGGTCATGATCGCGTGTAATGCCATGTGCGGGGATGATGAGCGGTAGACTTGTAATGAGGTGGAACCTCTGGCAAATCTGCCTATACATCTTAAATAAGAGCTTGGGATAGCGGTGATTTAATTCAATTCTCCTCGTCAGTGTTTATCCAAACACTGATCAAATAGGTTGTTTCCGGAGGGCCCAACCTACCACCGTGGCTACTGGTCCTGTGTTAAATATCAACACAGAATAATAGTTGTAAAATTTCCCAAGTCTAAGAAATAGAAATGGTAACTGCTAAAACCGTTGAAATAAATCAATCGTTTAATTTTCGGACCCTAGTTCGCTTTCGTTTGCTAGTACGGCAGGGCAATGTACCATCACCTTGCTTCATAGCAGAACGCGGCTGGGGTAAATGTGGATTCCTTTGAGGAGTTCTCCGTCGTTTGTTGGTTTTGTTACGTGGCTCAGAGTTACTTTGCGCAACCAATGTCCGAGCTGAAGGTTCTCCAGGAGGATTCGTTGCCTGTTGTCGTTTTCGTTTCCTGGTTGTATTGGGTGATTTTGGATCTCCCTCTCCAACTGGGGTACGAGACAAAGATTTATCAGGCGGCGCGATGTCCAAACCACAACGGATTCGGTATGCACATAACATCCATTGGCATTGTGGAATTTCGTCTGCTCTGTCTACAGGGTCGGACTCGGGGCCGTATCCTCGAAGACGCGAACGACAGTTGTAGGGGCATGAAAAGAAATAAAATGAAGAAAAAAGCCCTGGTGTTTACCCCCTCCTGTGTGACCCTGGATGGTTGTAGTTGTACGAAAAAATACCCTGAAAAGTGTAGCACTCTACATACGCTGAAAAGTGCAGTACACGTATCACCACAAAAAATGGGGGGACTGTCGCCATGATGAATAAATAGGACGAAAACACACACACACAGTGTCGGGGTCATTGTCCCAGCGCTCGGTGGGTTTCCAAAGTGACGGCGTTAATAGAACCGGTCCTCTTTAATGAAACCGGTCCTCGTTCCACGGATGCCTGTCGAGCAATGTACCGACGAGGCTACTGCGTGCTCCTGAGAATGAAGCACGAGAAAAACTTCGCTGCCGCCAGAGAAAGGTATGCCCAAACACCACCAATGTCCAAACCTTGTACTTGTGTTGCTTGTTTCTCCTGTGCTTCCTTCACTGACCCACTCTTATATGATTTGTGGACATTGCTGCCGCCGTTGTTTCTGTTTTGCCCTCCACCGCCACATCGCCGCCCCTTTTCTCTCGCTGTCTCTCTGTGTCTCTCTCTCTACCCTTTCCCCCCCCGACAACTCCGAAGGTGATCACGGAGCTGAGGACCTGCCTGGTAACCGACTACCAGCTCCACGAACGAACCTTCCCCCTCCACACGGTCCTCAAGACCGTTGGCCGACTCCTACAAGCCACCCGGCCCTCCCTTGGTAGACGTTCGCAAGGCCGAACCCACCGAACCCGCTTCTGCTATTAATAGTGCCACCACCGACGCGGCAGCCGCAGTGGTGATGAATGTAGACAGCGAGGAGAATTCAGCGGCGGCGTTGGTGGTTCCAGCCGTGCCGTCTTCTCTTCTCTGGGACAGCCTTCCTTTGACGCGTGTATCCCGGACGGGGTGGAGCTGCTGATGGAAGACCTCTTCGGGGAGTCGGCCGCCTCAAAGGAGGTTAGCGCTTCCTGTCCATGCACTGTTGTACCTTCAAGTTTTGCGCGATAACTTTGGAAAGAAAAGTAGGCATAGGAGCTGGTGTTTTGCCAATAGCAGGGGGGGCGCAGGAACGTTATCTGCTGCGATGGTGCCCCATCGTCTTTTTTGGTTGATGTCGTGTTACCGCCCTCTCACTTTTTCGTAGTAGCAGTGATGACGTCATCGCTAATGACGAGGGAGCGGTGCTCTCGTTTCAGAAACATGCACTCAAAAAATGATTACATGACCGTTTGAGATAAGTCGAAGGGATGGGATGAAGTCTTTGCAGTTTGTTAAGAACAATTTGTTTTTTCTTTTGCGAGAACACATGTGTTCCAAGCCTTTACGCTGGGAAAGCACTGACGCCAGCTGAAACAGGTACACCTATGAATAAAGTTCTGCATGTGAACTTTCTAGGACGTCCTCGTACTGCGCACGTGAGTCTGCGAGGTAACCTCGAAGTGCGGCTTCGGTCCCATCTCGTGGGGAAATTTTGTCCGAGAACAACCTGCACGATTGTTTTAGTTTGTTCTCGTGAACGTTTCGTCCGACCGTAGCCCAAAGGGCATTTTCTCTCGTCAAGAAGCTGGTACATAAAATGACCAGCTCCCCCTGCATCCACAGACATCGCATTGGAACTCCCCCCTCTAGGCCCAAGGATCAAACATTGCCTCGTCCAAGATGAAGGAGGCTAAGGGGCAGAGGGCGTACGACTCGTTCGAGATCGCGGCGAGGACCTTGCTCTTCTGGCCGACATTCACCGTGCTAGCGCCGGAGGACGCGGCTTCGGTGTCATCGGTGCACGCCCTGGCGGGCCCCGTGCTTTCCCTCCTGGAGGGGTGCGAGGACGCCAGGTGTGTGTTCTTTATTGTTGGCATCGACCGCGCTACAAAACCTGCCGACCAATGAAAAGACGTCAGTGCCAACGGGGAAAATCAAGATCCCTGGTTGTGCAGTCTTTGTATGTACCTACGAAGCCGCTCATTGTCTGCGGCGTGCATCCATCTATCACCCATTTCTTGGACCGATCGCTCCCGGCCTTCTTGTGCTTGCGGTTAAGGGCGTCTTCGTTTCAGGTCGGTGGGTAAGGCTAACGAGGCCCTCACGAGGATCGGGATGGGCCTGGCGGCTAACCCCAGCGCGACGAGGTCGGAGATGCTCCTCTACGTTCACGCGACCGTGGCGCCGTTCCTTCTCCCCCAGGTGATCTCATCACCCTGGTGACGTCGTCACCCTGGTGACGTCATCACCCTAGTGACGTCCCGAGCATATGCTTATCTCCATCACCACCGTTGCCCTTGGTACCCGCTTGAAGGGCACTCATTGTTTGTTTTCTAATAACATAATTGCCTTTGCGGCGGGAGGTGCCCTCAAATACATCGGTATCCTTGGAGTGGGACGTGTTCGTAGGTGTTACACCCTGCTGCTGCTGTTGTTTGTTCTTTTCTAGCTTTGTCAAGCTTGCTTCGATTTCATCCTTGCTGTACGCCGCCCCCCTCTCCTTGTTATCCCGTCGGCTGTCAATCTTCTTTTTTCATTTAATCGCGGGACCTTTGGAGACAGACATCAGAGGAGGAGGACGACGACGAGGTGGAAGAGGGAGAGAGCAGCGACAGCGACTGTGGTGCGGGGGGGTCGACAGCCGCGAGAAAGAAGGCCAAAGGGAGCTCCGCTGGAGGCGGGGCTTCATCCTCCGCCCGGGAGGTATGTGGGCAGATTTTATTTTCTGCCGCCTCCCCGCTCCTTCACCCGAAGTCGTGTGCTTGCCCCGCTTGGCGCTTGTTTTGTTTGATCCTTCGCCTCGACTTTTGGCTGGGTGTTACAGCAGCAAGAGTTGATTAACGTCCTAGCTCTTGGTATCACACCAGTCAGTGTTGATGAATCGTCCTATCTGTTGGTATCACAGCGGTCAGTGCTAGTTTTGATGAATCCTCCTAAGTCTTGGTACAATCGTAGCAGTCAGTGTTGACGAGCCCTCCTCAACCTCGCTTTGAAATCGGAGCGCCCACAGCCCTCGGCCTGGAACTGGTGGATATGTCCTCGCCTATGCATACTCTCAGCAAACGGCCCGCAAATCACCATCCCAAGGTCCACCCTCCCTTACTCGCCTGGTCATGGAACAACATGCCCCCCTCCCCCCCGACCTCCCCCCCCCTCCCGGTGTTTGCCATCGGGGTTGGGTTTTCGTCGCTTGGCAACGACGTTGTA